ATTGGACTTGATAATCCTGATGGGTCCCTTCCAGTTCAAGATATTCTGTGATTCTGACTCCTGAGCATCCTGAGGGACGGACACCAGGGTGCTGAGAAATAGTTTCTGCAAACCACCCATGCCCAGATGGGACAGCAGTGACACCCCTGAATGAAGTGTGACCTCTGCAGGTGACATTCCCGTCACACATACTGGCCTCAAGGCTGGTGTGGTCCAGGAGTGTCTGCACCAAGCTTGTCACAAGCAGGTGGCTGCCAGGATCCTGCTGTGCTGAATGCTTCTTCTGGGGAATTGGAAATAGCTCTGTCACTCCCCATAGGGGGAGTGGGTAGCTTCAACTAACATTTTTGGGTCTGCACAGCCCCCATGCAGATTGTGGAGGGGCTGTGTCACAGTGAGTGAATTTGGGACCTTGCCAGAGACAGGGGGTCTGCTGTGCAGGAGCATGAAGATAACAGTCCCTGCCCCCACAGCTCAGGTGGCTGCCACCATTTCTTATAGCCTTGGTGCAGAGTAAAAGGGACTGCAATGAAACCAAAGAGCAGAAACAGCCCTCTGTTAACCAGCACATCGCACTGTTAACTTTATCCTGATATTTTCTCTAAGCTGTGTGCTTGGTTGAACTCTCAGGCTACACTGCTCTTGCCAGTGGGACTTGGGGTTTGGCCTCCAGCCTTTGGGATAGGGCTCAAAATCTCTGGAAGACTCCAGGACCAATATTGTTCTACATAGGAGCTTGTTATACCCTCCTCCCTTTCAGAGCTAATCTTTCCCCTTCACAGCCGTTCCAACATTAATGAGTACTTTTGAGAGCTCAGCTTTTCTGCTAAGTGAAAAGTTTTCCTCTTTTGTTAGCCCATTAGGAGAGTTATTACAGCTCAAATGCTCTGTCTTATTTGGATGAAAACTACTTGGATAAATAGCAATGAATTCTTCGACCCCAAATGGTGTTTTTTCTGAGTGCTGGTACATAATGTGCCTTTTTGTGTCCTGTCTGGTGGATGAAGGGTGAGAAGATTGGGAGAACATGGTCCAAGAGGACTACTGGGTAGTGTTGGGAGATATCAGGAGACTTATGGAGAGGTGAAAGAAGGAACTGAAAAACCTGGGGACAAGACCCAGAGAAAAGAAAAATGGCTCTATAAGGAAGTCTCCAAGCTGGTCAGTTCAAAAGGGATTTTTAAAACATAATTTCTAAAAGAGAAAGCCCTGGTAGAATGGAGAGATTGTGTCCAGCAGGTACAAACATTCACTTCATAGTAACATTAAAAACTTTGAATTGCTTTGAAAAACACAACTGACTTTCCTTTAGTAATATCACCTGAGCAGCCTGATGTGTGTCTCTGCTCCATCACATTTCCTCTGGTTTCCCCTCAGTTGGGATTCACCTTCCTTCCTGTCACTGTGGATTTGCATCTTTGCTAAGGGGGAAATCTGTGGTTCCTGCACTGATGAGTAATTCTTAAAACTCCCCAGCATTAACTTCCATCTTTATTGTTGTGGCTTACAGAAGAGCTATTTTGTGTTTCAAGAATATCAGTGTGGGTGGTTTGGCCACTTCCTCTTTTAAGTCATGCAGGAAGGCAGAAATTACTCTCCTGGTTTTCAATCTACACCACGGCAAAATATGATTTTGCTGGTGTCACACTCAAGGTCACTGGCCTCTAGCCCATTCCCAAAATATTCTTCCTTCCTGATGCTCAGGGTTGTTGGCTCATGCCCATCTGTTTCCCAGCACTGGCTTTTGACCCAAACTGCATGAAGCAGAGGCAGATGGTGGGGCAGCAAGTGAAACTATCCTGGGAGATTCAGGACCCGCAGCCTGTGTGCCCTAATTCTCCTGGGGAAGGAGGCTCTGCTGTCCCACTCACTGCAGGTCACCTTTCCTTTGGGATGCTCCGTGCATTGCCAGGCTTCAGGTCTCATCCCAGCGGATTGAGGTTTCCAGTTTTTCTCCTAATAAAGTCCATACTAGCTAAGCTAAATATGAGATTTGAAAATGGATGTTGGCAAATTGTTACCACATCCTTTGTGAAGATTATTTGCGCATATTCCTCCTGCTTTACAACAATTAGTAGGTGAGCAACTGTGTCACCCAGGCATGTCACTGTGCATGTCACTGAAGCCAGGACTGTCCACCTGGAGATGCAGGCTGAATTTGCAAAGGCTTAACTACCAAAGCTCTTTGCTTTAGTGTGTCTCTCAAAATCAGCACATCAATAAATCCTGTGGCCTTTAGTCTAGTGCTGTTATCTCTCAGAGGATTCTAGAGAGAAGATTCAGACTCAAAGGGGAGGAATTGCAGGCATTCTGATTTCTTAAGGCTTCATTTCCAGGTCAGCAGAACGCAAAATTTCTCAGAAGCAGCTCTAAAAGAACACTCCTGCTGACACTGGGAGGAGTCTGTGAGCTTTCTGGATGTTTTGGCTTCCCTTGAACAAGGAAGGTTCCCTGGGTGTCACTGGGGACTTGGCACGCCACAGGTGGCTCCTGTGGGAGTAAAGGAGGTGAGTAATGCCTCTGTCCACCCCTGCTGTGGTTTGTGACCTCGTATCTTTTGCACCGAAAATTACAAGTCTAGTGCCAAATGATGGAAGTGCCTGGTGGTTTGGGAGCCAATAGTGTGTGTGAGTGCATGTGTGAGCTCAGCCCATGCCCAATTTGGTGGCTGCAGTGGGCTGATGTCCTGGTGGCACTGATGACAGTCAGCTGGGAGAGCTGTCTGTGCCCAGCAACCAACTTCCTTAACTGTTCTATAAAACTGATTTTATTTTTTTTAATCTTGGCTATCTGCTCTGCCTTCAAGGAGAGGCAGGCATCAGCATCAGCAGAGGTTGTGTGATAAAGAAAATCCAGTCACATCAACCTCAGAAAATTTTACTTAGTTTATAGGAGTGCTATTTATCATATTAAACTAACACTGTTATCAGAAGACATTCATGCAACGTCTGAAACTACTAGGCTATGTGTAATATGCCAAATATAAGCAAATGCCATTGTAAATGTTGAGTCATACGGGAAGATAAATAAATTAGTTTCCTGGGCTCATTAGAGCCGAAAGCTGGGGGTTTATTGGAGGAGGAGGAGAATTGCACAATTCAGTTCCATATGGCTTATGAAATGTGTATGAAAATGATTTTCTCCTACCCATCCTAATTATGATATATAAACAGATACACTGTTTTCCTTCAAGCACTTACTTAGCTGGAATATATTTTTTTTTAAAGATCAGCACAATACTTCTATTATGCATTTCCGTAGGCCCTTAACAGATCTCTAAATCAAAATCCATTTTTTTATAGCAATAAAATGACCTTTCACTAATTGGGAAAGAAAATGTTACCCAGTAGGTGACAGTTGTCTTGAGTGCTCAGCACTGTCAGAAGTCATTTTGGCATTTGGCTTTAAATGTAGGTAAACGTTAAAATAATAATTTTTAAAATTATGTGTCTAAATGAGTTTTGTGTGAGTGTGTTTATGCAAGGAGAGAGGGGAGTGGTTTGTGCTGCCCATGAACAGGCAGCAAACTAAAACCAAAGCAGTGCTCTTCACTCAGGCTACAATTTTGCCACAAAACCTGTTGGCAAAGGACTCTTTCTCCCAGCTTGTGGCACTGGCCACTGCTAGTGAGCAGCCTGCAGTGCTCTGTCTGTCTCACAGGGACAGCAGCAATGCCATGGGGCTGACAGCAACTGTGACGAGGGTGAAAGGGGGTGAGCAGGGAGAGCTGGGGACAAATCCTGATGGGCTGCACCCGCTGAAGGCTCGTATGAACAGGAGGAGACAACAGAGAGGGAGGAAGGCAGTGCCAGAGCAGAAAGGATGAGAGGTACGTCAAATGCATATATTTTTATTGTTCAACATTGAGGCTGTGCTAGTGCTTAGAGGCTGACATTTTGGAACTTGTTATACCAGATACCATAAACACGGTGTACATGGCAGCCCTTCCTCCAGAGAGCAAGGAAAGCTGGGCTGTGAGACCCATACACAGTACACACAGAGGGTGCCTCTACCAGCCTTTCTATAGTTCAGCAGGACTCTCCCTGTTTGGAACCAGTGGGTAATATTCACCAGAGCAGGCTGGGAGTAGTGGAAGGCTCTGCCCTTCGACAAAGGACGTAGAACTACATGTAGCAACACGGTAAGCAACAACCAGAGACAGAATAAATGAGTCAGCTTTCTAGCAAGTTTGAATACTGTTTAAATATAAACGTTGCAAATTAATATCTCTAACTGAGAAAAAAAAATAAAATTGGATGCAAAAATATACCAGTGGTATACTGCATATGCATATAAATACAGGATACAGTTTGCACAGTCATCATGTGTCTTCCTTCCGGACTGACTTTTCACAGACTGGTACAAAAGTTGAAACAGAAAAAAAAAAAAAAACAGAAGGGAAAGGTCTCCAACTAAACACACAGTTGTTTTGGTAAGGGATTAGCTTCCCAGAAAAACTGGGCTGTTAAAAAAAACAAAACACAATTTCACAAGAGACCCATTTGTGTTTTCACATCAAGAGGGGAAAGAGCAGCAAGAGAATGGCGCTGCAAACAGGGTGCTCAGTACATTTTGATGGCATTTGAAACCAGTTCCACACCCCATTCAAAGACTGTGTTGTTAACGACATCTGGAAAAGTCCTCTCCTTGAAAAGGAAGGGCTTCAATAATATCCAAAGTGCATCACTAGATGCACTAGATACTTAGCCCACACAGTCCATTGCAACAAGCAGCTTGCTCCCAACCTCAATTAGCAGGGTGCCACTCTGTGCACATGCACTGGATGGGGTCACTGCAGAGGGGTTCTCTGCCAGGGGGTCAGGTGGTCCCACCTCACAGAGGTGAAGGAAGCACATGCTCTCCAGGACCAGTTCAGAAATCCTGATGCCTCTGGGCAGTGCTGCTGCTGAGTCAGAGTGTCAGCTGTGGCCACTCTTAAGTCCTGGGTCCGGGAGTGTGGGGGGATGGCAAGAGCCCTCCATGGCTGAACCACAGCTCCACCTCTCCCTTTAGCCTAACACAGCTGCCCTGCATGGCTTTGAGAAAGGCAAATGGGGTGCACACATGCTCACATGGGACTTTTCCAACATCTCTGAATTTTGGCTTGAGGTTTTTTTTCCCTCCATTTCTTTAGAAGACAAAAAAAATCTACTCAGGAGGTGCCTTCTTGGTCTAGGCTAGTTGGGGAGTCAGCAACGTGGCCTTCATGGCACCCTGAAAGGTAGATGGAGGTCAGAGCACCAGGGCAGTGTCCAGGCAGAGAACATGGTGGCACCAAGGAGACTCTGGGGGGAATCCATGGCTGGTGTGAGGAGCAGCCACAGTCCTTGAGGGCACTGCATCTCTCGTGGGCACACCCTCCGCCCATGTCCACAGGAAGAACAATTCCCATACAGGTGCTGAGCACCAGATTAAGACAAAGCACTTTCCATAGGAAAGGGTGGCAGTGTGCACTGTGCATTGATCCAGGGGACAGTCTCCATCCCTGGCTCTCCTGACAGTCCAGCACAAGGTGGTGCCAGGGGTTGCCTTGGCCTAGGACACGTTTATGTTAGAGAAGAGTGTGGCCCTGGGCGGCGTGGAGGCTTTGTTGTCTGCCAGGTAGCCCAGGATGCTTTTTTGTTCACTGCGGGACAAATTGGCTTTGATGTGCAGGAACGCTTCCAGGTGCCTTTTGCTGTGAAAGAGAAACGGGCAGGTGTTATCTCCTTCCACACATCTCCACATCAGGATGTGGCCCCCCCACCCTGCAGCGGGCACTGAGGCCCCTGGTGGGGGCCAGATCAGCCCTACACAAGACTCAGGACTATTCTGGGATGTTTGGGGTAAAGAAAGGAATCTCCAAGGCAAAGGAGAAAATGAGGTCAGAATTTGGAATATATAAATAGGCTTTTATTCATATTTTCCTTTGTTGTCCATTTGGCACCAGGATTGCCACAGCCCGGCAGGCAGCCCCCACCCATTTCCATAGGCTCAGGCTATATAAATGTCACCTATATCCCTATTTGACTGTTTCCTGGCTCAATTAAAATTCCATAGAATATTAGCAAATCTCTTTTATCATCTCTTACCGGATATCTGGGTATGTTGTGGCGAGTGTTGCAACTTCAATTTTAATAGCACCTAAATCCTGAAGTCGGATTATTTCAGCCAGTTTGGGGAGCACTGAATTCAGCCACGTAGCTTGAGATCCCTGGAGAAGAGAAAGTGGTTAGCAGGGCATCGTGGGGCTGTTTCCTGGCAAGATAGGACATGTCAGTGATTTGAGGTCTCTCAGTTGTTTTCAGTGATGTTTCTGCCTGGGTGGGCCAGCCACAGGAACATTGGATTAGCTCTTTCATGGCTTTTAATCCCTTTACTCAAGAGGTGTGGGATTTGCCATTCAACTGAGATTTCCACATCCACCTCCACAGATTCTCTCTGCTCTTCCCTCCATCCACGTTTTCTTTTCTTTGGGTTTCTCCACTGCCCAGTGTGTGCACAAGGTCTGACAGGCCACGTAACGCACTGCCACGTGCTGCGTTCTCCCAGCTCCACACACAACCCTGACTTCAGCATCTCCAGGCACTGCCAAAATCCACTCCCTGCCCTCTCAGGTAAAAGCCCCAGCTGGACCTTTTTCCTGGCCATTGGAATTCCCAAGATGCAGCTGCCTGACCTTCCACCCACACTGTGTGAAACTTGGGCTTGCTCCTTCTCTAGTTAAATGCTCAAGGGGTGGTGGAGGGCTGGGTTTGGCTTAGCTTTTAGGCTTTTTTTTTGGGCAAACTTAGAGGCATGGAAAGAAGGAAGTGATGTCAGAGGACAAAGAGGGGTGTTCAGCCACGGCTCCTATGGAGGAATCCCTGGTGTACCAGAGCCCCTGTGCTGCCTACTTTAGCCTCTGCCTGACTAAAAAGCAGCAGAGGGAAATCAGGGGTGAGGGGAAGAATCCGTAAGGACTTAAAGAGCACAGTTGCCCGTCTCAAAACACTGTCAACGCCACAGAAGGAACTTGCCATAAGATAAGCCACCACAGCAGGAACTTGAGATAAGCACAGAAGGAGACAATTATGACAGGAAGGTGCCAATTTGAGGCCTTGTGAGGGGAGATCTGGTTAGTGTATCCTGCCTAAGGTATCCGGACAAAAACTCCCACTATGGTAAACTGTGAAAAAGGAAGCAACTGTTCATACATGTATCACCCCAAGTTTTGGAAACAGCATCTGCAACTACCCTGTGGATTACCTGGAATTTGGATGGTATACAGGTGATACCTCCAGAAAAATGACCCTGGTACCCCCACCACTGAGAAGACCAGGGTTAAGAGGGACCAATGGGACACCACTGAATCCATGGGTTGTGACTATCTTCTGCTTGATCTGTCTGTCCTACTCTCTCTCCCCCTACTCTTTTCTATTTTTTTCTATTTCTCTACCTCACATTTACTGTTTATTATTGACTTCAGCATATGGTCTTGTTTGCACCTTAATTCAGGCAGAGGCATATCTCAGTAACTGGATCATAACACAGTCGAAACCCAGACTTCACGGAAGTTGCACTGAAACCTGAAAAGATTATGTACATCTTCTGGCCCTATTAATATAAACGTTCTAAAGGAAACTGCCAGTGGGTCAAAGGAGGATGAAATCATGTCTCTCCAACCAGGGAGGGGCAGGGTGGTGTCAGGGGAGCCTTCCTGCCTGTAGGCATTTGGAGACCTCTTTCTGCCTAAGGTCCTGGCTTCCAGGAAGTTAAACTGAGTTGGAAAGGTTAATAAGAGGCCCCAGAAAATTGATTTCCTTGTTTTTTAGTGTGTCTATGCCCTGCACTCTTGTGTTCATGGCAAGCACTCACATACATTGCTCATGCAGAAGGCTTCCAAGTCAGCAGCATTCTTGGAGATCTGCTGGGCTAGATTTTGCTGCTGTGCTGGAGTTTTCAGGCTGACTTTCCTCTTCAGGAGCCTCACGATGTACTCTTTAACCAAACGGGTGTGAATCTTCTCAACAATAGCCTGTTGGGAAGGAGAGGAGGGAATCATCCATCTCTCTTTCGCGTGGGGACAAGACAAACCATGAGGTTGGATGGGGGACAAAATCATCTTGGGTGCTCTAAGATGTGCCCCACCAATGCCTGCTGCTGATTACATGTCAGAACAGTGCTGGTTGCCAGCCTCCCAAGGCTGGTTGCGCCACATCCTAGATGCCGAGAATTTCTTTGTACTCTAATGAGTTCCCAAAACTATGGGAATTTCCAAATGTTGTTTCCTTCTGGGAAGAGTTTAAAGTGAAGGAAAGATCTCCATGGGCTTGAGAAGTAATCGTATTAGAGAGAAACAGGAATTCATGCTGCTCTTCCTGTTCTTCTCTCTAATACACAAAACATCATCAATTTGTTTCGGCTACTAAAAAGACAAAGGCAGGAAATCAAATATTGTTTTATACAATCATGTTTCATATATACTCCAGCACCACTGAAGATGTGGTTCTGGCTCAGTTATCTGGGATTTGTTCCAGTTGCATCCATATCCTCCGATCCTTAGGGCAATCAACGGAGCAATGAGACTGAACCATGCAACTGCATCTGTGTTTCAAGACTGCTAAACCAAATCCATAAATAAAGCCATATGCTGGGTGGTCTCTAAAACACTTTCTTTACATCAGGGTTGATTTCCTCTGCAAACACTGCAGCAGAGCTACAGGAGTCTGCTTCTGTCAGAGAAGAGTAAGATTTATATGCCTAATCTAGGTAAACTGCACACTGCCTGAGCAGCTCTCAGATGCCAGCTTGGCTCACCAGCTCAGTGTTGGTCAAGGCAAATTGAGTTGCAGAGTATCAGAGCTGAAAATGCAACCTCAGCACCCCGGAATTCCTCCAATATTTCTCTTGGACTTACGTGGTAAAAAGGGTCCCTTAATGTCCGGAAATCTGAAATATGTTTGCTGGTGGTTTTAATGATCTCGTTCATAATTTCGTTGCTGGAGTCCCACTTATTTTCTGTGAACTTCTTATACATTGGCTGAAAAAAAGGAAAATTTGTTAGGTTGTATCAAAGCAAATCCTATGCACATTTATATTTAGCATTTCTATATGTACAGTATCCTACATAGCGAGAGGGCAGCGTGCAGTCCTGTGCAGGGGGGTGTGACAATGGCTTACAGGCACTGGGGAAGAGGGGACTGTGTCCCCTTCTTGGTTCCTCATGATGGAAAAGACCAAAGGCTCAAAAGGCTCACATTGGAGTTGTTCTTTTCTATTTCCACATTTTTAATGTTTTGTCCACGCCATCTTGTCTGATTAGAGAATTATGGAACCATCAGGGGGAAAAAAATGAATCATTATGAGATGTTTTCAATTTTTCTCAGCCACAGTAAATAAACAGAAAATTTAAAAAAAAAAAAAAAAAAAAAAAAAAAAAAAAAAAAAAAAAAAAAAAAAAAAAAAAAAAAAAAAAAAAAAAAAAAAGCAAGCAAGCAACCCTGCTCTGTCATGCATTCCAAAAGGCTCTACAGAGAAAGCAGGAGAGATTGTGGCTGAACATTCCCAACTCCTACGCCTCCTTCCCCTCCACCCAAATTGTGTAACTTAAAAAGCTTGTGTTATATACACTAAAAAAAAAAAAAGGGAAGAAGCCTAATTTGCCTTCTAGGTCACCTTTATGAAGAAGCCAAAAGCTGTGTATTTGCAGTTTATGCCATTTGTGATGGCTTCCTACAGTTTGGAGACTAAACAGCTGCAGGTTGAGACTCTCCCTCCTGCAGCCCGTTGTCTCAGATGCGATCAGCATGAGTTATGTCACCTGCACAGTCATGCCTGTGTCACTGTGCCCCATTTTGCCATCAGGCTTGAGGACCAGCTCAAGGAGAGGTTAGTGGGAGTTTTCCAGCAGCAGTGTGGGTTGGGACTGATGCTGTGCCCTGGCCCAGAGCCTTCTGAACTTTGCTGATGTGAGCAACAGATAGCAGAGCAGGAGAACATGCCCTGCCCTGGCACCAGCTGAACCATGGGGCAGGAGGGTGTGGGGCATGGAAACAGTACCTTCAGCTGGGCAAACAGTTGTTGAAGCAGAACGTCAAAGGCGCTGTTTTCAATATCACTAAGAGTGCTGAGGATATCGGCTCTATTGTCGTCATCTTCTGCTATGTTTTTCTCTGTGTATTCTCTGCAAGGAAATATCAGCAAGGTCAGAATATCCTCAAATGATAGAGAAATTCAGAGGTCTCCAAACCTTCCTCTGCAGGCAGATGGATCTATCTCTGCTAACTCTGAAGTACCTCCCCTCTATCACACTGTTATACGTTGCCTGCAGAGGAAGGAGAAAACTTTTTCTTTTGGACCCTTACCTAAAATTCCAGCAGTTGTTTATATTTGCAATCAGTATAGGCTTGTAGTGTGTGTGCTTCTTACTTTTCTCCTTAAAGTCTTCAAAAGCATCCCTGTAGCTGGAGGGGAGATGGGAAGAGGAGAGGTGGGTGAGTGCGTGCCCG